ACACTCACTTTAGATCCAAAGACATATACAGATTGAAAGTGAAAGGACAGCAGGCATGGTGGTGCACACCTGTAATCCCAGCACTTGGGAGGCTGAGGCAGGAGGATCGCTGTGAGTTCGAAACCAGCCTGGGCTACATAGTGAGTTCCAGGTCAGACTCAACTACATAGTGAAACCCTGTCTCAAAAAAACAAAAGAACAAACAAACAAACAAAGTGAAAGGACAGCAGGCATGGTGATGCACGCCTGTAATCCCAGCACTCGGGAGGCTGAGGCAGGAGGATCGCTGTGAGTTTGAGAGCAGCCTTGGCTACAGAGTGAGTTCCAGGTCAGTCTCAACTACACAGTGAGACCCTGTCTCAAAAAAATGGAAAAAAAAGAAAGAAAGAAAGAAAGAAAGAAAGAAAGAAAGAAAGAAAGAAAGAAAGAGAGAGAGAGAGAGAGAGAGAGAGAGAGAAAGAGAGAGAGAAAGGACAGAAAAAGATATTCCATATAAATTGTAAGAGAACAGAAACATCCAAACTAATATCAGAAAAAATAGATTTTAACCTAAAATGATTATACAAGATAATGAAAGATACACATATTAATATTAATACACCAAGAAGAAATAAAAATTTAAAACTTTTATGAATCTAATACAAGACCATAAAAGTATACAACTAGATCTAACAGACAAATACACAAAAACTAACTACATCTAACACACATAGATACAACATGGTACACAATAGCATATATATTCTTCTCAAGTGTACTGGAACAAGTTCCAAGACAGACCACATGGTAAGCCACAATTAAATCAAAATGTGTTATATATACACTATAGAACAGTACTGAGCCTGAGAAAGGAAGGAAATTCTGACAACACAAATGAGCCTTGAGGACATTATGGTAGGTGAAATAAAGCATTTGCAAAAACACAAACACTATATAAATCTACTTACAAAAGGCAATTAGAATAATGTAATCAAATTCAGAAAGATAGAAAGTAAAATGGTGGTTGTAGGAACTAGGGGCTAGAGAAAGGAGAATTACTGATTAATGGGTACAGAGTTTCAGTTTCATAAAAAAATGAAATGAGTTCTAGAAATGGATGCTGATGATAACCACACAGCACTATGCATATATTTAATAACACTCACTGAATTATCCAATTAAAAAATGATCAAAATGGTTTTATGTATTATGTCATATGTATTTTCTAATTTAAAGTATTAGATTCCTCCGCCTGCCTTGCAGGCACAAAGTCCGGAGTTCGATCCCTGGTACCAAAAAATAAATAAATATATAAATAAATAAAATATTAGAGGGCAGAATCATACATATGCTCATTAGACCTAGAAATACTTTGAAATTTTGTCATATCGCTTTCTAAAGGGTTACAATATCCTATGTGAGAATACAAAATTTTGTTGATTCCTGTTGTTAAAACTTTTCCATAACTCCATTTTTGTGAGTTATTAAATCAGTTTTCTACCTCTACTCATAAAAATACAAGGAAATCATCTGTTTCAGAACAATGTATCCAAATTTCAAATTTGAAAACCACATTTGCTGTTTTAAAACTGTATGAACTACTTTTGGATCTTTTATCTGTGCCAGCCAGCTTCTTGTCACCTTCTTAGAAAAAAGCCTGAATCTCATTTAGGCTATAAGTTTGTATTTACACAGGGGTCACTACATAAAGCACATGAGAATTATATAACAAAGCTTACCTAAATCCCATTTCCTTTATACTTCCTGAAAAAATGTTATGAAGACAACTCCCTGCTATGTCTCTGCTGCCCTCTACAGGAATAATTTTTTGTTTTTTCGTTTTTTTGTGGGGTTTTTTGGTACCGGAGATCGAACTCTGGTCCTTGCACGAGGCATACAGAAGAACCACTGAGCTAAATCCCCAGCCCCTACAGGGATAATTCTTAGAAAATATTGATAAAATAGTCTTCTCAAGTGCACACAAAAGATTTTCCAGAATAGCTCATTAATCTGTAAAACTTTTAACAAATTTAAGAAAATTAAAATCATACCTAGTATCTTTTATGACCACAATGGGATGAAATTACAAATCAATAATAGGAAGGACCAAAAAAAAAAAAGCATAAATATGTGGGAAATAAAAAGCTGACTCCTGAGCTGAGGATGTAGCTCAGTGGCACCATACCTGTCTCACAAGCAGAAGGTCCTGAGTTCGATCCCAGGTACAAAAACAAAAAACAAAATCCTGACTCCTGAATAATCAATGTGTGTCAAAGCAAGTTTTAAAGGAGAAATAAAATATCCTGAGACAAACAAAAAATGGAAACATACTAAACCTTATAGGTTGCAATAAAAAGAGTCTAAAAGGGAAGTTGATACCAATAAATGCCTATAATGAAAAAATGAAAGAGGGCTGAAGATGTAGCTCAGCAGTGAAGCATCTGCTTAGCATGCACAAAACATAGGCTTGGTCTGAAGCACCTCCCCCAGAAACCAAATAAACAACCTAACATTATACCCAAAGAACCTGGAGCTTAGTTGATTGTGTCTTGGTTCGTTGAGTATAATGTTAGCTTGTTTATTAAAGGAAATAATAAAGATTAGGAAAGAAATTAAAAAATAGAGACTTGAAAAATAACAGAAAAGTCAGGCACAGTGGAGCACACCTATAATTCCAGCTACTAGGGAGGCAGAGGCAAGAAGATCACTAGTTCAGGCCAATCTGGGAAACTTAGTGAGAGACTGTTTCACAATTTTAAAAAGGACGGAGCTTTAGCTAGTGGTAAAAACACCCCTGTGTTCCATCTCCAGTACTTAAAAATAAAAATAAAAATGAAGAAGAGGTAAAGGGAAAAGAGGGATGAATACAGGTTGTGTCTATAATCTGAAAATCTAAAACTTTTTAGAACCAACATAACAAATGGAAAATTCCAAACCTAGTTTCATGCAATAGGTTGTAGTCAAAAGACACATGTACTAAAAATACTGTATAAAATTACCTTTAGGCTATAACTATACGGTATATATGAAACATAATTAACTATGTTTAGACTTTGGCCCTATCCACAAGATATCTCAGTTGCACATGCAAATATTCCAAAATCCAGAAAATGGTGAAAAATACTTCTATCCCAACCATTTCAGATAAGGAATACTGAAACTGCATTGGCTTTTTTGTATCTGTCTTATTTTACTTAGTATAATGCTCTCTAGGCTCATTAATGTCACAAATGGCAGAATTTTCTTTTTTAAGGCAGAAGTACTCTATTACGTATATATATTTTTTAGTTATCCATTCATTCAAAGTTGGACACTTAGGTTGCTTCCATATCTTAATATGGTGAATACTGCTGCAATGAACATGGAAGTACAGATACTTCTTCAATGTACTGATTTCAATTCCTGTGGAAACACGACCAGAAGTGAGACTGCTGAGTCATATGGTAGTTCTATTTTTTAGTTTCTTTTATAGAAACCTCTATATTATAATATATACAAATGGCCAACAGACATAAAAATAAAAATGCTCATGATCACTTATCATCAGGGAAATGAAAATTAAAACCACCACAATGAAACATCACATTTGTTAGAACAAAGATTTACAAAAAAAGAATAAATATGGGCTTAGGGATGAGCCTCAGCAGTAAAGAATTTACCTAGTATGCATAAGGCCCCAGGTTTGATCCTTAGCACTATAAAAGGAGAGAAAGAAGACAGAACAAACATTAGTCTTATTGGTTTTGAAGACTCCCCAAATACCAAAGATCTAAGAAGTTTGACAAACGCCAAGCAGAAAACCGTATCAAGGCATGTCACAATCAAATTGCTTAAAACCAGCAATAAAGTCTTAAAAAGAATACAAATGAGAATAGCTTCAGGTTTATTAACAGTAACACTTGAGCTAAAAGACAATCAATGCTTTTAAAGATTTGAAAATTATTCTGTCTAAAATTCTACACATATTTTTCATCACATATCAGTATATTTTAAAAGTATCTGCAGACATGTGAAGTCTTCCACAAGTCATATCTCAGAAGCAATTGGAAGATGTGTTCAACCAAAGTAAGTATGAAAACCAAGAAAAAGGAAAACATATGAAATATAGAACATAATGGAACTCCATGCAGGGGAGAAGTGAACAAATTTCTAAAATGATGGTGAAGGGAGACCCCAGGGTGACAACATCTACAAAGCGAAGAGGGCATTGACTTCAAATTGTAGTGGCAACAAGATTAAGGGCAGGAGTTCTCCAAGAAAATGAAACTGGCAGAACACCTACTTTGAGAGTTTAACAGAGTTAAACAATAGTGACTTTATAAATAGTAAATAAAACTAGAAAAACAGAAAAACCAAAATACTTACTAAGGAAAACAAAAAGTTTGAAACAAAAATAGTGATTAATAGTTGTCTTGGTTGTCAATATGTAATGGTTCACAATTATGTTAATGCTTAATAATCTAAACAAACCTTGATATATCTTTAGTTGGAGAATGGAAGAAAAATCAAAGTTCTGTACATACGTGGGGCTGGAGAGTGGGTGACAAAAGAGCTCAGTATTTATCCATGTTTGTAAATATAGCACAGGGTTGGGGATTTAGCTCAATGGTTCCGCCACCTGCTCTGCAAGCGCAAGGTCCCGAGTTTGATGCCCAGTACCCAAAAAAAAAAAATTATAAATACACACAAGCATGTTATTTAGAGCTGAGGGGGGGGTTAAGAACAAAAGAATACACTAAGAGTCAAAACTGATTGTCCCTGAGAAGAGAGTCAGTAGATGCAGAAACACCAAAAGGCTAGGATTAAGAAATGTTATAGACAGCCGGGCATGGTGGAGCACACCTGTAATCCCAGCACTCAGGAGGCTGAGGCAGGAGGATCGCTGTGAGTTCGAGACCAACCTGGGCTACACAGAGAGTTCCAGGGCAGTCTGAACTACATAGTGAGACCCTGTCTCAAAAAACCAAAAAAAAGAGAAATGTTACAGACAATAATAAGTTTTTGAAATAATTAGTTCTTACCTCAGGAAGCTCAGATAGCTCCTCATCATTTGTCAAAGAATGACAACTTGCACAAGAAGCACAATCTGAGATTTCAACAGCATCCTCACCATCTTCACATTCATTACATGCACTAGCATCTTCCCTGTCACTGTCGATCTCCCAGTCAATAAATTGTAATTCATCTAAAAAAATATAATTTTAACTTAATTTATATCTCTGATATTTCTTTTTTAAAATCTATATTTTATTCTCATTAGTTACCATATCTATGTTACTGGGTGATTTTTAAAATTATGACAGCAAAAAGTATATTCCTTCTCATATCTGTAGTTTCTCCCTACTCATACTTCAGTTCTAAATTTACTTTTATTAGTTATCTTTTAATCCTTGTAGCTTTCCAGTATGTTTTTTAAAATAAGGTATAAATTATTTCCTCTTTTCTTACACATCTTGATTTTTTTCAATTAAGATGATTAAGCTTTTTTCCTCATCAGTATATTCTCATTCTTTTCTACAATGTAGTATTCTGTTGCACAGTTGAACTATAGTTTTTTTGTTGTTGTTGTTGTTGTTTTGGTACCACCGATGGAACTTAGGACCTCATGCCTGCAAAGCAGGCACTGTTCTACTCCCAGGTCTAGCTGAACTATAGTTTATATTTAAATAGTTCTCTATTAAAAATGATTTTTTCAAATGTCTTCACCCAATAATTTTTTATAGAGTTCTTTCATTGGTAAGAAAACCACTGAAATTTTATAAAATTTTAACTCTGTAAGCTAAAATATTTTCATACATTAAATAACCAAATGATTCTAATTTGCTGCAAATGAACAAAATTAGTTATTAGTCTCTGAGGTAAGATATATAATAGAAACCTTCCTAGCACACTAAGCACAAGTACTCCCTAACAGCTATTTTTGCAATTCAGAAAGCTAAGATATCATTTACATTCAGAGGTCTGATAGTAATAATTTCACTTCCAGTAAACTAAAATATTAAAAAGGAAAAAAAGTACTAATATTTGATTTGAAAGGAATTTAAGTTTTTAGAAAAGAAAAAATTAAGCTAAAACTAAAATATGGAGAAAACAGTCTTCTTTAATCTGATATTGCTGTTTCAGAAGACACAGTAAAAGTCCACTACAGTTATTATAAAAGATTGGAGTTAGATTGGGATTGAACTCGGGCCCTTGTGCTTGTGAGGCAGGTGGCAGAACCACTGAGCCAAATCCCCAGTACCAAAAAAAAGATCAAATAGAGTGGAGAAGATACTTAACAGAAAAATATTTTGACAATTTTAATGTAAGACTTTCCTGCTTAACCCCAATTCTGGGTCTTACAGCCAAGAGACTCTAATTCTGCAAGAAAGACTAGATATAGTTTTATTTGGGGGGGTACCGGAGACAGAGCTAGGGTCCCTGCTATTGCAAGGCAGGAGGAGAACCACAGAGCTAAATCCCCAGCCCTTAGTTTTAAAAGGCAATTCTGCTATGAAGTGGGTTTGGCAACCACCACACAGAATTAAAATTATAGACATCTTTGGATTTTAATACCAATTGGCACATTTATTAAGTATGTGACTAAGCAAGTGACTTTTTTTTTAAGTTTCTTGAGACAGGGTCTCACTATGCAGTCCATGTTCGTCTTGAACTCACCATGTAGCCCAGACTGGCCTCAAACTCACGGCAAATCTCCTGCCTCAGCTTCCCAAGCATGCACCACCACACCCAGCTACTCACAACTTAGAAAAGTCTCAGTTTTCTTCTGAGGATAATTAGCTCACATGACATAGTAAATTTCAAAGGAAATAACATACATAAAACCAGCCAAGTGTATGGGATAAGATAAAATAAAACCTTGATAAGTGATAACAGTTGTCATTCATTAAATGTAAAAAGGAAGAAAGGAGTAAGGGAATAGAGAGAAGTAGAGGGCTGGGGATTTAGCACAGTGGTGCTGCCACCTGCCTCCCAAGTACAATGTCCTAAATTTGAGCCCCAGTACCAAATAAGAGAGAGAAGCAGAGGAAGAAAGAAAAATTAATCCAGAAGCTGCAATCATGATTACATATATTTTAAGGGATTATCCACTTCTTCTCTAAGAATCAACTTTGAAAAGAGAAGTCAACCTTTTGTTAATTCATGTTAAGGTAATTAGACCAAAGCATCTTTTCATTTAAAATTAGCTTCGGAAGTTGTACAATATATTTTAATAGAAGAAGACAACATAGTTTTTATTTAATACAGACTTTATTGAGAAATAATTCATATATCATACTATTTTTAAAGCATACAATTTTTAATATTGAAACTGTATTCTGAGATATGTGACAATAAACCAAGAATTATATCATAATGATTTTCAATATGGCTGAATCAATAACATAAACATTATCAATTTATGTATTATCTTAGAATGCCATTTCACCCAATACCTACTAAAATGTCAAAGGTAGTTACCAAAATGGATACAAAGTGGCCAAAGAAATTTAACCACCACCCTGAGAGGCTATCTGTCCAAATCTAACCTAGACTTAGTGACTAACTGTGAACAATTAAGAGTTAAAAATTACAAATTTCAGCCAGACATGGTGGTACACACCTATAATTCCAGAAGGAAGCTGAGGCAGGAGGGTCACTGTTAGTTTCAGGCCAGTTTAGGCTATATAGTGAGTTAAAGGCCAGCCTGAACTGCACAGTAAGACCTTGTCTCCAAAAAAAAAAAGTTATGGACCAGGGATTTAGCCTAATGGCTCCACCACCTGCCTCGCAGGCGCAAGGACCCGAGTTCAATCCCCGGTACCAAAAATAAAACAAAACAACAACAAAAAAAAAGTCACAAATTTATTTTTGAAAGCATTAAGACTTTACTCCCAAGTATTTTTAAAATTTAGAAAAGAATATGCTTTCCATAATAATACATATGTAGTTATCAACTGAAGGTGATTTTTGTCCTTCAGGGGACTTTTAATAACTTCGGAAAACGTTTTAGGGTATTAAAACTACAGTTGGGGGCACTACTGTGATTCAGTAGGCAGAGGCCAGTAATGCTGCAGAATATCCTATATAGGATACAGAGAAAAGTTCTCCCACAGCAAAGAATTACCTGGCTCCAAATGGTAAGAGTGTTAAGGTTGAACCCTATTTTAAACTGTATAAAACATGATACAATAAAAATGCCATCGTGGAGGGGGATTTAGCTCAGTGGTTCCACCACCTGCCTTGCAAGTACAAGGTCCCAAGTTCAATCCCTGGTACCAAAAAAAAAAAAACTATCAGCAGAGAAATTTGTTAATAAGTTATACTTCCTCCACATGTTGATTGTCATAGTATTTAATAACAACTTCCAAGAAGGCAGCATGAGTGCAACAGTATGTGGGAACTGCAAGAACTGGCTCTGGCCCCAAAGAGACTGAAAATGGAATTTCAATCACTTCTGACAAGTCCCAGCCTAAATTGTTAACAGTAAAAATAATACCAAGTAATACCTTCCTGTTAAGAGTTGTTGTGAAAATTATTAGTTGAGAAAATTTTTCTAAAGAGTTTAGCAATGAGGCTGGGGCTCAGAAAAATCATGAACAATTACAAATATATAAAGGGAATATAAATTTCTTCTAATATTAAACCTAGTATTTAACCAAAACTAGATTTCTTACACAATTAGTAATTTACCTTCACTGGCCCCATCTTCTGGACCTAAAATATTCCTATTACAAAATCTCTCTATTCGAGAGCCATGTCCATTATCTTTCTGTGATTTAGAACGTATTTTATCTTCATCTGACAGATCACTTCCACTGGAACTCCATGTTATATCTGGAAGCTCACTGGTACCTTTATATGTGGCAATTTCTGTTAAAGAAAAATAAAATACATAAATTATCATCAATGGATACGGCCATTTATCATAATGAGATTTTATGCATATTTGCCAAAGTCACAAAAATATATAACTCTGAAGATGATGAAAACAATGTAACATGTCCAATCTTCCATACACATTCCTGCAAAAATTCTTTGAATTAAAGTCAAATTATAGGAAAAAAAAAGAACTAGTTAAGTTATAAAAGGAAAAAAAAATGACTAGAGCACAAAAGTGAACTAGAACTGGAAAAATAAGACTTAAATAACAACTATAGAACTATAATTCCCTAGAATATTTAATGAAACTAAAAGAAGCCGAGCATGGTGACGCACGCCTGTAATCCCAGCACTTGGGAGGCTGAGGCAGGAGGATCGCTATAACTTCAAGACCAGCCTGGGCTAAAATAGTGAGTTCCAGGTCAGTCTCAACTACATAGTGAGACCCTGTCTCAAAAAACCAAAAAAAAAAAAAAAAAACACAAAGCAAACCACAAAACCAATACATATGAATACCAGAAACATTTTGTGTGCTTCCTTGGCCATGCTAAGAGTCCTAGTAGCAGCAGAGCACTTTAAATACTTAAGAACAAACTTCTATACTTAACAAACTTTTTTAGACACAACAGCAGGTTCACATATAGTTTTAGCAAATAAAGAGCCCTTGTATCCTTCTCCAAGTTCCTCCAATGGCAATTTTTCTCAAAACTATAGTGCAATTATTACAATCAGGATACAGACACTGATAGTCAAGAGCAGAACAATCTTATCAACACAAAATGACTTGTGTTACTTTTCTATAGTCACCAACTTCCCCTGCCACATACACATACACATATCTGACTCTAGGCAACCACTAATCAGTTTTGCATTCCTATTTGTCACTTCAAGAATGTTAAATGAAATCAAAATATGTAACATTTGAGGATTTTTTTTTTTACTCAGCATAATTTACTGGACATTCATCCAAGTTATTGTGGATCAGTAGTTACTAAATAGTATCCCTTGGTATGGATGTATCATTGTTTATTTAACCATTCACCTATTGAAGGATATGTTTTGTTTCAAGTTTGGGCTATTATGAATAAAGTGGCTTACTGTTTATAAGAGTTTTAGGTGTTTTTGTTTTTGTTTTTTATGCTGTTTTTTGATAACAGAGTCTCAGCTCGCTATGTAGTCCAGGCTGGCCTTGAACTCACAGTGATCCTCCCACCTCAGTCTCCAGAGAGATGGGTTTAAATGTGTGTACCACCACACCCAACTAAGACTTTGTGAAAATTTTCACCTTCTGGGATAAAGACCTAAGAGTGGAACTGATGGGAGGTATGGCACTTGCATGTTAGTCTTACAAGAACCTGCCAAACTGTTTTCCAGAGTGGCTATACCATTTTTCAGTCCCCAAGTAACGTGTTAACAATTCAGTCTCTACTTCTTTCACATGAAGTTGGTGTTATTACTATCTTTATTTCAGTCATTCTGGTAGGTAGAAAACATAGAAGAAATGAGCTACTACATCTTGGCAGAATCAGAAGTCAACAGCAAACTTATGTGATATTGATCAGAAGAGAAACACATAACTAATAAGCATAAGTTTATATTAATAATTATAGCTATAATGGTAAGATATACAGACATACACATATGAATCTTATCCTACCCACTGTAGAAACAAATTTCAAAATTTCAAAGCATATTTTATATAGTTTAAGAGATATACACTTATAATCCATGTGTTAAATAAAACAGGCTCAGCCAGGTGTGGTAGCGCATGCCTATAATCCCAACACTCAGGAGAATGAGGCAGAAGGATTGCTGTGAGTTCCAGACCAGCCCGGGCTACATAGTGAGTTCCAGGTCAGTCTCAACTACATAGTGAGACCCTGTCTCAAAAACAAAACAAAACAAAATAGGCTCAGAAGTCAAGCAGTTTCAGTAATACATATTTACAGAATCAATACAGTAAACCAGGAGAAAAAAAATATTTCTGCTCTAAAGAATGTATGATCTGAAAAGAAACACTAACCATGAAAAGAAAAATTAATATGCCATGGCATAAGAGGGCCAGAAAAAAATAAATATTTTACTTGTGTGGTTCAGGAAAGGAAGATTCACTGACAAAAATGATGTTTAGGAAAACATCACTTATAAAAGTACAAAAGTACAAAATAATTGATGTTTGCTGAACACTGAGTTTGTGCCATAACCATCTACTGAACTGACCTATCCTTCAAGATATAAAAGAAAAAATAAAATATTCAGAAGAGACCAAGAATCCTTATCTATTTAATCAGTTTAAAAAAAACTAAGCTGTAAACCTGCTTACAAAAGACATTATTATTTTCACTATGTATCTGAACATAAACAAAGTACACACAATGGCACCTCAGTTCACATACTTAATTTGTTTTACAGTTTTGAAAAAGATGGCCACATTTCTGCTTGTGTGGGAAAGAATGCCGCAGTCATGTTGGTCACCTAATGCAGTTTGCAAACAAAAACAAAATTTTGCCAAATGGTTGTTTGAGAACAAAATATTCATGAACTGAAGTAACAGTGTGAAATTATCACAATCTGTAGATCACAAAATTAATTCGTGGAAAATTTTAAAAGTCAACTGAAACTACTACCAATAATAAGAAACTTGAATAAAGATAACAAGGTTCAAGGGCCAGGGATTTAGCTCAGTGGTTCTGCTGCCTACCTTGCAAGCGCAAGGTCCTGAGTTCAATGCCTGGTACCAAAAAGAAACAAAAAACAAAACATAGATGTTCAAACATTTGGGCCGGGGATTTACCTCAGTGGTTCCACCACCTGCTTGCAAGCCAAGGTCCTGAGTTCAATCCCCCACACCAATCAATCAATCAATTATAAGGTTCAAAACACACAGAAACAAAATTTAAAATAGTATCTGAAAAAATGTAAAATGTCTAGAAGAAATTAAAAGACATGTAAATCTAAGTAAAGAAACTGTTAAGTCCTCAAAAGACCATATAAAGAAGACTAGAACAGAAAGACATAGAGTTGATGATCTAATGAAAAAAAAAACAATCTCTTAGTGCAGTTTAATTGTGCCTTTGTATTACAAGTGAGGCTTAGCATCTTTTCATATTTTTGGAAATCATTTACATTTACTTTTCTGCAGTCTATCTTTATTTCTGTAACAGTTATCTTTTCTCCCAATATTAGTTTGTAATTACTCTGTCTGAAAGATCAGTCTTTGGGCTATAAACTGTGATCTTTATTTTTCTAGATTTTACTGTGTATATAATTTTTAATTTTGACCACACTTTTTTCCTTTTTTATTTAGGTGAACATGTCAACTTTTACAGCTACTAGTTTATAAGTCATTACAATGCTTCTTTTGTTTACCCAGCAGCTGTGGTTTAGATTCACACTTGGGCAGTCCTTCTGAGTCCATGTTCTAAACCATGAAGTGAAGGTCCTAAACTAACTTAAGACCTGTAAGTCTCACCACTAGCTTAGTATGAGACTCCAAGAAAAGATATAACTGTCAGGTACTTCTGTACCATCTATTAAGAGATAGAATAATTAATAGCTATGTCATTCAAATTCTCAGAGACCAGAACCTAGATTTATAAACCTATGAAGTACAAGCATTTACCTGCACAACTTAGTTAAAACCATTACTATAAATTTAATAGGCAGCAACTCATTTTGCTTGCTTTCTGAAAATAAGTACTCGAGTTCAAGGCCCATCCCAATGATAACTAGGAAGGATATCAGCCAGACTGTGAAAATACTTACTGTGTAGTTATAAACATTTCCACGTACTCACTATGTGCCTGGCACTGTGCTAGAAGCTGGTATTATAAACTGAATTGTGTCCCCTGCCAAAATATATTTGTTGAATTAATTCATACCTCAGCATGTGACTGTATTTGGAAAGAGGGTCTTTATGGAGGTAACCGAGTTAAACCGAGGTTTTTTTAGGATAGGAATTAATCCAAGACGCCTGGTGTTCTTATAAGATAGGAAACTAGGACAAACACAGACATACACAGGGAGAAGACAATGTGAAGATACCATTGAAAAGCCAAGGCAGAAATCTGGATCCTTCCCTCACATCCCTTAAAAGAACTAACCCTGCCAATGCCTTCATTTTGGACATCTGGTCTCCAGGACTGAGACAGTAAGTTTTTGTTAATTAAGCCACCCAATTTGTATATATTATGGCAGCCCCTGGAAACATATACATTTGAGATATTCAGATGAGCAAAAGAGGGATCTGTCTTTGAGAAGGCAATGATCCAATGGGAAGAAAAGAAGACCAAAAAATATTAAAACCCTGGTAATGTCCTGAAGGGGCAGGAGATTTCTGACCTGAAACAACAAAGATTTCTGAGAAAATACCCTGTAGGTATTTCAAGAGGGAAAGAACAAACACAAATTCCTTTTATTCTTTCCCCTTTCATTTGGCTTGGTAAATACTTTTTTTTAAAAGTCCTGCTTTTTTTTTTTTTTTTTTGGTACCAGGGATCAAACTCAGGTCCTTGGGCTTGCAAGGCGGCAGAACCTCTGAACTAAATCCCTGGCCCAAATCCTGCTTTTAAAGAAAATCACTATCTACAAATGTTCCAGACTCTTTTCATCTTAAGTATTTATCTTTTTCTTCCTTGAGCCTCTGGCAACATCCTTTGCCAACATTCATGTGCTAGCTTATCTTATTCCTTTCCATCTCCTTTATTAACTCCTCCTTTTCAGCTTTCTCTTATCCATGGCTTACAGATGAGGAAACAAAGACATGGAGACAAGCATTTGACCTTATGCATACTTTGCAAAAGCATATTCCCCAATTCTGCTTCCTAGCTCTCATAAAAATAGTACTTCCTCACTTTAAATGTGGTATAAAATTTTTATCTTGGAATTTTTATCAGTAGCCTATCTTAAATACTTTAGGAGCTACTATTGTTTTGTTTTGGTTTGGGGGATTAGTTTGTTTGTTTCTTTGTTTGTTTTTTGAGACATAGTCTGGATTTGTAGCCCAGGCTGGCCTCCTCCTGCCTGAGCCTCCTTTGCCACCATGCTGCTTGGCTCAAGGAGCTACTGTTCTAAATGTGAACCCACCCTAGAAATATCATATCTCCTTTTTCTTATTGGTAAGCCTTTATCAAGTAATTAACAATACTTTCTGCATACACTATAAAGTAATTATATATTGGTACAAGCTTTGTTGTCTTTGAAAATAAATTAATCATTTTATAAAATCAAAAGTATAGGGGTAACCCACTTTCCGGTCCCCCTTCTTACTCTGTTAGACAGAAGCTTTCTTTCCCTCAATAAATTTCTCCTACTCTTAAAAAAAAAAGAAAGAAAGAAAGAAAAAAGAGAAAAGTACAGCAGTGTGTGTCAACTATGGACTGGCATGGTACAAGATAGTAACATTTAAAATGTTTCTCTCCCTCAAAGCTGAATTTACTGTTTTTTAAATCTTAGAAAAAAATATTAGCCAATTTGTCTAAGGAAAAAATAGTTTCCCCATCTATCAAAATCAAATTTTAAAATCAGAATTAAATTATCTTTGAATATCACAATATTTGGCACTTCTAAGAAGAAAAGTAAAACTTTTAGGTTCCATCAGATTATATTATAAAAAGAACTGTGCCAGCCTTTTATATAAGCCAGTGAGTGCTTTACAAATTTTCAAGAAATATTTTGGGGTATTTTACTCATTTGCAAAGAAAAGAACCCTCTTAAGTGTTAGTGAAATAATAATATGGCTTAGGATGTTTAGTTTCTTCATCACAGAAAGTTATTCTGCTCCATAGAAGAACTTTGGGCAGGCTTTCACATACTGTAGTTCTTTTGACCGGCAGAGGTAACAGAAATTGCTGCCATTAATTAAATACCTACTAATGGTAAGCATCTGAACCACTTTATTGGTTATCATTATAACCAGTGAAGCACATGCTATTATGCCCATTTTCCAGATGCAGAAACTGAGGCTCCATATGATTAGCCTATTTTCCCAAGACTGTAGACAGGACATAGTGAAATCCATCAGTCACAAGTCCCCACTCTTCATCCACACCCACTACGTATTTGACTGACAGTGCACCATATTTTCCATTACACTAACCCCGATTTCATTGGCAGCAACGTACCAGTGTAAAAAAATTCCTAATTTCACTAAACCGTATTTAGTAGAAATGATTCTTTATAAAGGATCTGGACAAAGATAAGTCCTAGACAAGGTTATTTCTTCCCAAAGAAAAGCAAAATTTACTTGCTAAAAATCTATAGCACCCATCTCTCCCAGACAATTCAACCTGAAAAATTCAGCTACTCAAAACACATAACAGCTATCACCACACTAAGGTTGCAGAGCTCAGAACAAGCAAGGCTCTCTGACAGTCTTGTTGCAGAAGATAAATTCAACCTTTAGTGTTTAGACAGAATTTCCTAGTATTTGTAGCTAGAAAGCTTCCCTAACTCACCAGGTAAGAATTTCATAGCCTACAGTAATACAATTCCTAAAGCATAGGTAATAAGTTTATTTTCCAAATGAATTTTTTTTTCAGTGCTAATGGTCAAACCGAGGGCCTTTTTTGTTAAGCCCCGGAGTTAAATAAGCCTGAACTAACCTACTGGGTTTTATGATAAAAGTGAATCCAGTATTGACACAGAAAAAATGTTAGTAATTACCCATAGGGGATAGGAAGAGTGGAGTAGATAATGACAGATATGAGAGAAAGCATTCTCAAAAGTATTTTTACATTATTTTGATATTTTAACTATGAATACAATCTCCTCAAACTATGTAATTAACTTTAAAACACTAATAAAACACACACATACTTGCACATACATAGCCTTATACTGTCTCTGTTAAGAAATAAAGAAATATTACCTTTTTTTGGTCTTGGAGAAAATTCAAGGTGCTTTCCTGTAACAACTGACTTTTCAGCTATCAATGACTGCAGGTAAAATAATAATGTAATTTACAAACAATATTTTATAAAATATTTAGAATTAAACTATATTCTGCTTTACTTATATTCACAAGTATAAGTACTCCTCAAACACATATTCCTTTTACACTTATAAATTTCTTGTAAATTTAGTTTTACATTTTTCCAGATTCTAAACAAAAGGCTAAATGATCAAAATATTCAATGTTACTAACCGTTCATCTACATGACTCTGACCACTTGTGTGTTTCTAATTACTACCTATACCCATTCTTTAGTTTAAAAACAGCATTCCTCTAATATTATGCTACCACATTTATAAAAATTAACCAGAATTTCATAATTCATAAAAGATTCTGAATATATACACATTTCATAAATATATTTATTTTAAAAAGTAGTATGCTAAATGATTTCATCTTCTGAGAACATTCTCAGTATATATCCTTCATTTACAAAAGTAGAAAAGTTCTACATGGCATAAAGAGATGAATACTAACTTGCCATAATTATTAAAGGAATTCAAGGAATGAGAAAAAATACTGTACCAATTATAGTGTTCTGAAAGTAAAGGAGGAACAGAATCCAAAAAAATGTAATTACAATGGCCTCGGGAATTTTAAGTTTTATCTATGTGCATTCAGGGAAAACAATTTTATAGCTCCTTTACCTGATTCCCAGAAGTATCCTGAAATCCTTCTCCACATTTGAGCCACGATTCAGAGAGAGAGGCAGCTACTCCCACTGTCCTGTGACCCCTTCTTTGAGATTGCAGTGGCCTCTCTTCTGGAAAGGATGGGTATTCTGTATTCCAACTCCTTTTCCTCTGTGAAGGTTATTTTTAAAGGAAAAAATTTAAATATACATTAAGATAACAACAAATAAGAAATTCTACAATGGCAGCATTTAAGAGCATAGTTTGGAAGTTTGAATCTTCACATAAGGTAGAACAACTAGATAGTAAACCCAGAAATACAGAACAATACAGAAAGCAACTACAAATAAGTAAATGAGTGACCATGTCTTGGAAACTATAAGAAAACACATGGTAGAAAAGTTATCCTTGGGCTGGGGATTCAGATGAGTAGTTTCACCTACCTCGCAAGCACAAAGACCTGAATTTGATGCCGGTACAAAAAAAAAAAAAAAGAAAAAAAAACTATCCTGAATCATGTTCTCCTATATTTTCAGAGAAACTATGACAAAAAAATAAACAACAGAAAAGTATCAAAAGCAAATTCCATAGAGTTACTATATTATTACAAGGAAGGAAGCAAGCAAGCAAACAGAATAACCACCCAACATACAAACAAAACACACCAAAGACACACAAAATCAGTAGCCTACTACTTGAAAACAAACAAAAAAATTCAGTTATAAAAAAATTCAGAGGTATAAAATCTCAGAAATGAGGTAACAACTTTAAGATAGAAATAGAATAAAACTTAAAATCACTTCAGGAAAAAGAATTAAACCAGAAGGAATCCAAGAACAAACAGTTACTACAAAAAATGTTTTAAGAGAAAAATAGATGAAACATGGGAAATTTTAATTGTGGGCTCTCTCTCAAAAGTTCATGTGCTAAAAGCCCAGTGCTCAGGGTTGGAATAGTAGAGGTATTTGAAACTGTAAGAGAGAAAACCTAATGAGAGACTAGAAGTACTGTCTTGGAAGGGGCGACACGTTCCTGCCAGCTTGAATCATTGTTTCATACATGACAGTCCCATGTCACCCAATGGAACAAGTATACTGTACATATACCACTGGAAGTTCAGAGCCACCCAGCAGCAAGACGTACAAATTACAGCCACATCATGACCATGTTACCCCAGTTAGTTCCTGAGAGGGAGTTGTCTTTTGGCGGGGGGGGTACTGGGGATCAAACTCAGGCCCCTGTGCTTGTGAAGCAGGCAGTGGAACCACTGAGCCAAATCCCCAGCCCGGAGTTGTCTTTTATAAAAGAATGAGACTGGCCTCTTCCTACTATGTGGCTTCCTGTACCCCTATATAACTTCTCCTCCAAATGCTCTCACACACACACATTTCATAAGGTCCTAGCACAGTTAAGCCCAACACAGTACCATCTTCTTGGACTCCAGAACTGTGAAATAAACCTCTTTTCATTACTCAACTTCAGATATTTTGTTACAGCAATGAAAAAGAGACTAATATACACATCCAATGAAGGAGAAAAAGGACTGAAGAGAAATAAGACTAAATAACAGGAATCCCTGAAGAAAATCAAAGCAATGAGACAGAATAAATACTAAAAACTACAATTGCAGCTGGGGATTTAGCTCAGCGGTTTGGTGGCCTGCCTTGTAAGCACAAGGACCCGAGTTTAATCCCTGGTACCAAAAACAAAACAAAACAGAAACTACAATTGCAGAAAACTTTCCTTTGTTCACACCTTGTTTTGTGCCAGGCTGCTGCCTTTTCGCCTCTCTTCAATCTTATTCCAGTGAGACCCCTGGATGCCTTTTATATTACTACTGCCCTCAGTGACCTTCTTTGAATCATTCATTTGGAAATTAATCACATGCACATTCATCAGTAGACTATTATTTTCATGTGCTTATGTCTTCTCCTGAGACCAGGACTTCACTTATAAATTACATTCTACATCTGACAAACTCTAAAAGTTCTAGCTTATAGAATTTACTAGTTCATCCACTATCTGTTAAATAAGTAACTTCTGTATATGCTGAATAAATCCATAGTCAACCTAAGACACTACTACAAAATGCAGGTTCAATCTACACTACCTCAGATTATCTTTTAACTTCCAGGAAGAGTTTCAGGGAGGAATCCCTAACCATTTCAATGTTTTAAAATGTTTAATCATAGAGGCTTGAAAATAAAAAACCACGAAGGCCTGGGATGATCTAACAGTTTAAATTCACTTCTTCATTTGCCCTCAGAGAAAATAAAAGGGACAGATGGTTATCACATTTTATATAGTTTTTAGATAATTTTAAATTGAAGGTTACCACATTCAAAGTAGTAATGAGTGAAGTATACAATTGTACTTGGGCTTACAGTAAAACAATTACCTACTTTGGGTATTGACAAGCACCTAAGCAATGTTTAAACAACCCAAAGTAATTCAGAAGAGTTTTTTTGTTTGGTTTGATTTGGTTTCGGTTTTTTTGCTGTGATGGAGACATAGTTTGGGTATCTATATGCACCTAACCAATGTTTAAATAACCCAACTAATTTACTTTAATTTTAGTTTTTGTTGTTTGTTTTCCTGTGGTACGTGGGAGTGAACATGGGATCTTACACATGCTAGGCAAGAGCTTTATCATTAAACTAGACGTCCTAATTTAGTGTAGTTAATTTAAAAAATGTTAATGCTAGAATTTAACATCAGGCTATTTGGCCCTTTAGTTTCATTTTCTCAATAATCCCCAACTTCTTACTTTTTTTTTGGAACAAACTTGGGTCCTTGCACTTGCAAGGCAGGTGGCAGGCGGCGGAACCACTGTTCTTACTTCTTAATGTAACAGTGTTAGACATATTTGTTTTCTTCCCACACATAAACAGAAAAGCAGAATTACTTTGTACTAGCCCTGCATTCCATTCCATTAGTTTAGCCCTGGATACCATTAGTTTAAAACTTTTTTTCTAAAATGGGAAATTCCTGTGCTAAAAACCAACTTCCTACACCAGCCTTCTTAAAAATACTCCCACCTGACAAGCATGTGCTCATATTCTTGATCTCACTCACTAAAGATATGTAAAAGACCAAAATGAATGACAATTGCTAATATATCACAGCCTGACTGGTTTTATTTTATTAATCACTCCCCATTCAAAAGTGAAAAATAAATTCACCTTAGTTCTTTTCTTTTTCCTGTTTCCTCATTATTAAGAAGCTGAGGCTGGGGTTACAGCTCAGAAGGAGCATATCTTCTCAGCATAAGCAAAGTCTTGGGTTCATCTGTCAACCAGGAAGAGGAGTGGTGGTGTGGCAGCAGCAGCAGCAGCAGCAGCAGCAGAGGCACCCTAATCCATCAGCCTGTCACTGATTTAGTCCCTATCAGGCAGCACACTTAACAAGTACATCTTCGAGATCCCTTCAGAGAGTATGGATTCAAGCCTATCCTTCATTACCTTCCTCTAACTAAATCTTTACCCTACTGGCTCAATACTAACTTTACTACTCTTACTAAGAAGAAAGTCTGAATAAAACACAGCAGTCCTTAAACTAAAAGCAAGCAGTTAAAAAAAATACTAAGCCAGTCTTTCAATTAAATCTCTTCCCTAACTGCAAGCCATCTCAGACATAATTCTATTACTGCATGCTACTATATTAAAATCAGCTTCACTGGAAACCAGCACAATCAATTTAACTACAGTTCACTGAAGACTCAGTAGGTGTCAGACACTATGGCAAATGAGTCATACATATTACTTCACCTAGATCCTAGACGATATTTTAGGCTGAAATGAGTAGTATTAATCCCCATTTAATATATTAAAAAAAATTAGAAGAGATAACCTGATATCACACATCTCTAGCTGGCAGGAACAGGATCCAAATACAGGTTGGTCTAGGGCTGGGTATTTGGCTCAGTGGTTCTGCTGCCTGCCTTGCAAGCACAAGGACCAGAGTTCAAACCCCAGAACTAAAAAAAAAAAAAAAAAATCCAAATACAAGTTGGTCTAAAGACAAAGGCCGTAACTATAATGAGCCAGATCTTCGTGCAGATGAGAAAAGACCTTCTATCCATAAAAACAAAAACAAACCAAAAAAAGTACAATCAGTGGATAAGCTAAAATTAAAACAAAAAAACAAGCTATAGACCACAGGTGGGTGTGGCGGCACCTGCCTCTAATCTCAGCACTTAAGATGCCACAAGAAAAATCACAATTTCAAGGACAGTCTGGGCTACATAGCAAGCTCAAGTACACAGTGAAATTAGATCCTGTCTCCACACTTAATCTTAGCCAAAAGGCTGAGAAATGATAGAGATCCTGTCTCAAAAGCTAAAAAAAAGAAAGAAAAAAAGAAAAAAGAAAAAGAAACTAAAATCATATGTTCACTGTAGTATAGGGGAATAGGAATAATAAAAGTTAGTATGAATATACACAAATATATACAGGATGGAAAAGTTAATTCTAAAAATCACTTTTTAATTTCTTTTTTAGTCAGTCCTCAAAGTGACTGAATCAAAGAAGGCAGGAATCACATTCTCAGTAGAAAATGAAGAAACTGAAATCTAGTCAAAAACACAAAAACCAGAGGAAGGCTAGTGAAGAAAGAAGCTGGTACTCTGCATTAAGAGGATGCTATGGGCTGGGGATTTGGCTGAGTGGTTCTGCTGCCTGCCTCGCAATCATAAGGGCCCAAGTTCAATCCCCGATATAAAAAAAAAAGAGGGTGCTACTTTTTAAATTACCTACATACCATCCCTTGAGAACTCTAGCCTGGCAGCAGCCACAAGAACAGCAGTCACACTTCTAGTAGAGTTCACACTGCTGAGTAGAACAATACTGATTTTATTCTCAAACACTGTAGTTGTCTGTTTGGAATTGTCCTGCAGTTCCCTAATGCACTAGATCAAAGGCTTGGCTTTCCTTCACACAACCTGGATTATTTCCAGAAATCTTGTAGCTTCTCAGGCAGTATTTGCCAAAAAGGAACAAGTATGGGGCATAGTATCCTAGAGCAAGGACAACAGTCAAGACAAGACATATACAGAATAAAATGCCTAGAAAGGAACATGTTAGGAAAGGAGATAGGAGGGCAAAAACTTTTAAAGGAAGGCCACAGGAATGCCTAGTATACTCAGAAAAGGTTTAAGAACATCCCAAACTTTCAACTCTGGTTGACATTCAGGCTCCATCCAAATAGGAAGTAAAGATTAAGGCAGAAAAAGAATTAAGACATGTATGTAAATGAACCAACTCCCTACAATGAATGTAATCATTATATACTACAAACATGTAGTAATAAAAAAAATCTTTTGAGCTAAAAAGAAATTAATGTAGAGATGTAAACAGCCTGGGTAAGTGCTGAAGGAGCACCCCAACAAAGAGCCAATCTGCAAATGAGGAGTTTTCTTTTCTTCCCCCGCCCTCATTTGAGATAAAGACATAGATCCTCATGAGATAAAGACATAGTCCCTAATCATATAATATCTATAAGGGAATAAAAGTATAGACACAAATAAATCTAATACAAGAAATGAAATTGTAAGTGACAGAAATAAAATTCCATAGGAATACAGAAGAAAGCTTATAACTGGGATAACTGGGGAGATGGTGGGATTTGAGGTAGGCCTTGGTGAATTACTAAGATTTCAGCAAGGAGAAATGGGAGAGATGACATTTTTCCGAAGAATAGAACCAATACCAAGAAGCACGAATATATGGTGACAATGGCCCAATTAATCTAGAAGATAATAATAAAGCAAATTATAAAGTTAAGAAATGAGACAGTGACCCTATTTTGAAAAATGTCAACAGACCATGAGAACCCAAATAAAAGCAAACTTTGAAGTAGACCACCTGATTATAAACCCTACCCTTTCACTCAGCTGCTATGTGACTCTGGACAATATTTAACCTCTCTGCTGAGCCTCAGTTTCATCATCCCAGACTAACAGGATTGCTAAAAGAATTAAAATACATATAAAGCACTCACCACAGGATAAGTCTGAAATAACTTAGTATATAGTTAGTAAGAAGTAAGATAATGTTTAAGCAGAGGCATGACCATTTAACAAAAGTAATGCCTAAAGAAAAGTCATCTCTGAAGATGTAAAAGGAGCATGCTAGTTGGTACCATATATAAACATCTCCAAGCATGAAGTACAGTACCTTGAGCCTGACCCAAGTAGGGTGACAGAAAGGAAAAAGAAATTCTGGGGACAAAACTGGTATGGTAGCCATTCTTTGAGACAGCCCCTATGATTCCCTCCTCTTCTCGTTCATATTTTTTACAGTGTCCTACCACACTGTACCAGAATGGTAATCTGCTGTATGACATTATATCATTTCTGAGATTAGGTTATAAAGGACAGAGGGCCTATCTTGGCTACTCCCTGTCCTGGTCATAGAAAAGCCAGCTACCATGCTGTGAGGTACCGTATGGAAATCTCAAGTAACTGAGACCTACTTAGAACCAGCTGAGTGTGCTTGAGAGTGGATCCTCCATCTCCAATGAATGACCCTTTACTTGACTGCCATCTTGTGGGAGATGCTGACCTATGAATATACAGTTGAGCAATGCTCAGATTCCCTACCCTCATAAATAGTATGTGATAATAAACATTTGTTATAAACTACTTTAATTTGAGTCAATCTGTTACACAGCATATAATCATTAATGCTACTATTTTTTAAAATTGAGTCTTGAGAAATGATAGAATGAAGAGGGCAGAAATTAATGTCAAGTTAAAAGTACTAAAATTTCAGCCAGGTAAACCTGTAATACCAGCACTCAGAAGGCTGAGGCAGGAGGACTGCTGCGGAGTTTGGAGGCAGCCTGGAATACATAGTGAGACCCTGTCTCAAAAAACAAAAACAAACAAACAAACAAAACAAAAAGACTAAGATTTTTAAATCAGGAAGAACTGTTAGGGCCTGAGAGATTAAAAGTGAGAAAATGATGATTTCATGATACACTGAGTTTAACTGGGCTCAAAGTAATGGTCAATTGTTTATCTGAAAGTCATCTCCACACTTTGTAACAATTAACATCGACGTATGAAATTGTTCAGGGCAAACTTGTAAAGTGAGAAAAGGCACAAAGTCAAAACTTGGAACATGGGAGAAGCCAGTAAAGAAAAATAAATGACCAGTTGTGAGAAAGAAAAATCGACACCAATATCACAGATGCTCCAAAAGAAGTCAAAGGAGGTAGCAAATGTGTCAAAGGCCAAAGTGACCAAGTAAATGGCTTAAATTGGATTTTGAAATTTCATACAGTTCCCTTTTTTTCACATTTTAGTATTGCTGAAACTAGAATGTGTCTTACAATTGATAAGTATGTCATATTTTTTTAATTCCCTAAAATCAGTTACAAAATTGACAATGTGGTCCAACATTCAATATTTGAGAAACAAGGAAGCATAATATTAAGGAAGTTGAACCAATACACGTGGACTATTTTTTCAGAAGTTTCTGAGTAAGGGTCAAGAAAGGTGGTGTTGTTTAAAACTTGGAGTATAATGAGACAAGCATATTTGTAAGCTAGAACACTAAATTTAAAAAGACAGCAAAACTAGCACAACTGACAGAACAACAACAACAACAAAAAGATGTACTCGGGCCGGGGATTTAGCTCAGTGGCACCGCGCCTGTCTCACAAGCCCAAGGTTCTGAGTTCGATCCCTGGTACCCCCCGCCAAAAAAAAGATGCAGGCATAAATACAGGTGCAATTTAAATGCAAGTATACAGTTATTTTCTCATTAAAAATACATACAGGTGCAATTATTTAAATATCACCCATGCAATAGTTTCTATATACCTACTCTGTGCCTACAAACTGCAGAGGGCGCTGGATACAAACAGAACAGTTAGCTCCAAACTTCTCCCTCACTGTGTCAGGAAGAGAAAGTTTTGGGAGAAAAGTGTAGCAACACAGATATTTGGGGAAAACTGGCAGAGACATTCCAATGTCCATCGTTATCACGACACGACAAAGTAAAAAGGAAACAAAACACCAGCGAAGGTAGATATATCCCACACACTAGTTCTAGACCCAACTCCCAGAAGCCCACTTCATCGCTTCGGGCGGCGCCACCCCTGTGTGTCCCAGGGTAGGAACTCTGTGCACTGGGCAGGAAACCGACTGGTCACGGCCTTCGCCTCACTCCCGGTCGCCTCCCGGCCGTGCCCGACAGCCACACCACCCATCCTACCCGCCCGGGATGCCGGCTGGCCGCCTGCGCTGCGCCCAAGGCCCACCGGACGAGGATCCAACTGAGCGGGAAACACC